CTCCTGAGCAATCGCAGTCCATTCTTCTTTGGCAAATCTCTCAAGCCCCTCCAGAGATTTAATGGGTCTTCTGGCACAGACCTCAGTGGGCTCAATGTTAACTTGGCTTTCTGTACCAGGAACAACCCATGCTTTGGTGTTGTTGAGTTGGAGAACAAAGCTTATGTTCTCTAACATAAGCATTGTCTCCATGGCCAAAGAACTCTTCTTTGGTCAGATGAGACAAAAGTAAACATTTCTTTGGTTCCAACTTTGCTTAGTCATTCACTAGTGTCTTGACAGCTGTTAATGGGCTCTTTAGACACCTCAAACCCTTGCTTGTTTTAGTACTGCATGCAAATTGGAAAATACCCTTCAGTTTGAACCTTCACAAAGTCAAAGCACATCATTGCACAGCAGTGGTTTGTGCTATGGCTCAATAAATAGGTCACATTTTCTGGCGACTTATAAAGGTGACACTGGTAATTTTTGTTTTCTCAAAAAATTGTTATTGTGTGTAAAAACAAATCAAGAAACAACTAACTTATGGTTTCTAAAAAATGTTTAAATAAATAGTATCCTTAAAAGTGCTATGTTAAAAATCCCTTGTACGTTTTAAAATACTGGTGATCACCAGTGCTACCCCTCAGCCTCCTAATAGATGCACATATAGCATAAATTTGTATATCCTAGGCGACTTCCTTCTTGAGTTATTGTATTCACAGGATTTTCAGAAGGTCAAGGTCACCGGGAGTCAAACTCATGTGAGACTTTTAGTTGATGCACCAGTGGTATGAATTTTAAAATCCTATGCTGCCTCGTTGACGTCGCAAACTTGGGATGCCCGCCTGCCTGCCCAATGGGGTGACAGCAACATCCCATCAGCCTTTTACAGCTGAGAGGTAGAAACTACTTTGGAAAGTTTTGAAAACAACTTTAATTTTCATACGAGGCTAATAATTTTGTTCTTATCTGTAGCTAACTAAAATAAATGACAACATGAATTATAAACTCATGTTATCACATTCATATTTTTTAATAATCTAAAGTCATTTTTTAAAAATTGTGTTTTAATCTTGAATCACAATTTTAAAACAAACAGACAAACCTTTTCAGTAGAAGAACCATCAGATGTTTCTTCTCCCTCGCTGTCAAGCTCCCAGGGTTTCCGATTTCTTGGCTTCTTTTTCCTCCTCTTGTTGTCCCTTTCAGCTCCATGCCTGTCTGCCTCTGGTATTCTCTCGTCAGCAGCTGAAAACAGGATAATTTAAGACTTACATGGAGCAGATCAAGTAATCCAACCCATATTTTTTTTTTTAAAGTCTGAATTACAGCTGAGCAAACCTTCATCATCTTCGTCCGGTGGTGTTGAGGGTCGTGGCCGTTTCATGTCGCCCTCTTCAAACTCTTGAGGTTCTTTCCGTTTCACCTGCATAGTTCAAAGTATTTTTTAAGAATAAAAACAAAAAAACACAAATTGACTTTACAAAGTCTGACTATTTTTCAGAACTAGAGGAAGTACCACAAACTGACAACACCAAACACTTGTGCACTTTTTGAATATTGTGGTACCACATAAAAATTCAAAATATTAGAATGACAATATCAGCTATTTTAAACTACGCTCTTGACACCATTTATTGACTTAAGCTTGACATATACTGTGCTAAACATTTATACAGTATGGTTTACCTGTGACAGCCTTAAATATAGCTTGAAGAGTATCTAATAAGAAACCTAACTACACAATGCACCAACAAAATCATTATTATTGGTCCATTTGGTACTAACACGCACTGTAAATACTGCACTATTGACTGAGAAACAATAAGCAGGAAAACAGCATGATGATAATGCAGTGAAACTTATGCTGTTTTATTATGTTCATGTCACATTCAGTCCATGTATGAACGAAATTACTGTCTTTTCTAACTCCTGACACTGGACAGGTCTCCCTTATAAAAACAGAGTTCAGTACCACTACATAAATTCTGTATTTATTAGGTCCAACATGGAGAACAGTTTCAGTTACCATTTAATGACATCAACAAAGTGCCTCAACAAGGTGGCATACAAGCACCACTGCCACCTAGTGTTTTGGTGGTGTAATGGCAAATGAGACACTCCAACAAACAAACATAAAATATGAAGGCAGTATAGATTCCATACAGTAACATGGAGATGAAACCAAAATCTGCAGCAATAAAGTACCGTTACCTTGAAAGAAGGCAGTCGTAGTGCTCCACGGAGAGAAAATCCCTCCATGCCACCACTCTTTGCCCAATCCACAAGAGACATGAGAGGCTCCCGTGGACGGTTGACCTTTTCCTCTTTTTTCTCTTCATCCCGTAACGCAGAAACCCCCCTAACCATCGTCTGGAATGGCTACAAAAAGTAGACATTTACAGAAAATATTACTTACTACTTTCTGGCTTCGTAACAACAGTCTTTCTTTTATATAGTTAACTGACTAATAAAAGCATCATTAAACTGAGATGAAATAGTAACAGGAATGACATCTTTCATTAAAAAAAACAAACAAAAAAACATGCTAATTATAAAAAAATCAATTACAGTTAAATGGAGTAAGTAACAGGGTGGGCCTATTTATTTTACATACACAAAAATTAACTGCAACCTTAGAAAGATGACCTTCATTATTGTTGAGGCTGGGCTTCCTTACCTTGGCCTTGGTCTCTTTCCGCTCCCACCACTCGTCAAAGGTGGCAAAGGCTACATTCTCCACCATCTTGCGGTTCAGGTCCCTTTGCATGATGTTCTTCATTTCTTGGATAAGAGTGGCCAAGACCATCTGCACTGTGGCTTCATGAGGATTCTCTGCCAGCATGGACATCTCCTCCCCTGGAGCCCTGTACTCATCTCCATCCCCAGGCAGCATCGTGCCATAGCCAGGTGGGGGCATATAAGATGGGTAGTGTGGCGGTAAGACATGTGGAGGCCAGCCAGTGTGTGGAGGCGGGATACCATGGTGTGGATGGGGTGGTATTTGAGTGCTGTGGGGATCAGGGTAGGGATAGGTCATGTGGGGTGGCATGTATCGGTGGTCTTGGTCATAATGAGTGCCTGCCCCATTGCCCTCTTGGTCCATGTAGGGGTGGTGTGTGTGATGTTGTGGAATAGAGTGGAGATGGTAGGAATTGTAGTCTGCAGTAGCTGCCTCACCCGGGCCTGTGGTGCCATTGGATGATGACATGCGCAGCTGGTGTAGGCGACTTAACATGTGGGTCTGCATTTGGAAAGACATAGGGGTTCCACCACTGTACTGGTTCATCAGCTCCATGGAGCTGGCATAGTCATACATGTGGTGAGGCATGGGGGGAGGATACTCAGGGTGCAGCTCCATGTGAGGAAGGGGAGGAATCCCTGGTGGAGGTGGGGGTTGTAGGGAGTAACCAGGGGGTGGTGGAGGGGGCAGATGAGGGGGGTAGGATGGTATGGGAGGGTGCATGGAGGTGCCAAAGTGCTGTGCAGAGTCAGAGATGGGTGGGGGTGAAGATGAGGGGTCTGTTGTTTGTGAAGTCATGGCAGCCTGAGATGAAGAAGGTGAGGATCCTGAGGTGACTGATGGCTGGTGGGTGGTCACGGTTGTTATGGTCGTAGTCTCCTCCTCCTCATCTGAGATCTCCATGTCTTCTCCTGAGGAATGAGGAGAGGCCTGAAAGAAAACAGAATTTACTGTCTTAAGTTGAGTAACCACCCACATATTGAAGCAAATTCTCAAAATAACACTTACTGAATTATTTTTCTGTCCCACTTTTCTAACATAGAAACGGGCACATTAAAAGCAAGAAGCCAAAACATGAACATTATGTTTGACAGCACTCAGGATGTTAATCACTGTGTTGGTACTGAGGATGTTTTTATTCATTTCCACCAAATATTTATTTCTCTGCCCACAGACAGGTATTTCTGGGTGACTATCAAAACAACTGATTCTATTTATAAAAATAAATGGAATCAGGACAGATCATACCTGACTCTGTCCATTAAAAGGTGGTGTGTGCGCTCCTGTCCGGCTCTGTGCATCAGCAGATCCAGCCTGTGAAGACTCTTCCTGCAGTGCTCCAGGACCAGCTGGGCCGACTTGGGCCTGAGTTTCCTCTGGGGGTGGGATGTGGGGAGAATAAGTAGAAACGGGTGGTGTAGATGCTGTAAGTACTGTGGGGCTCTTCCTGCCTTCTCCCCCTTTCCCCCTTTTTCTTCCTCTGTGGCCATCTCTGTCTCTTTCCCCTTTCCTCCTGTGGTCTTTCTCGCCATTGTCCCCCACCTGTTCCCGCTCCCCTTTCGCATCACTTGACCCACGTCTTGTTCCATCTCCACTTCCGCCCCCATGCTTCTCCTCTTTCCTATCCTCCTCATCTTCTTCGTCAGAGGCAAGAAAAGAGAATTTAGCTTTTTGTTCCTTCAAAAGCATCTCAATACGAGAGTCCAGACTGCTGCTGTGGTAGACAAACGGTAAACTCTCATTGGTGGAATCTGGCTCTGGGGAGGACGAGTCCCTTTGAGGGGGTGGAGGGGAGCTAGAAGAAGATGAAAGATGGTGGGGAAGCGAAGTAGAAGAAGGAGAATTAGAAGAGGAAGCAATGGTGGGGTGGGGCGGAGAAGAAGGCGGGGGTGTCTTGGGTGGGGCAGGTGGGGTGCTGGGACGACGTTTGGGTTTTGTCCATTGTTCTTCACCGGCAGGACTATCCTGGTTGAAGTCCAGTGTTCCAAGTGTTTCTGCTACAGCTGCTGCAATAACAGAAGCTGGTGGGAGAGGAGGTGGGGGAGGTGGAGGGAGAGCACTGTGGTGACCATGGTAGTCTTTTTCAGCACCTAATGAAGGCAGAGAACCCCTCTCTGTGACACTTGTGCTCCCTAGGCGAGTGGAAACGTCCAATCCCTGAGGAGGGGCTGGGGCAGGCTCTTTGGAGGAGTATGTAGAGTAAGACGATGGGGGAGGAGACATGCTGTTAGATGAAGAGCGGTACGAGTTGGAATTGTACCTGGGATCCGAACTGTTAGAGTAGTCACTGTCCCTGTCTCTATCTCGATCTCTGTCTCTGTCCCTGTCCCGGTCATGGCTGCTTCTTCTGCGGCTGCTGCTGCCATGGTGGTTGTGAGAATGGTGGTGGTTGCGGTGTCTCTGGTGGCCGTGGTCACCTGACCGAGAGCCCAGGCTGTCTCGCCTGTACCCCCTGTCATCCCTGCGATCTGAATGGTGGTGGGAATGATGGGAATGGTACTTTGAGGAAGAGTTTGTGTCTTGCTGGTGATGATAAGATGACCTCCTGGAACCAATCCCTGCTGGCCCATACCGTCCCCCTGAGTCTCTTTCACGCTCCCTCTCCCTTTCTGACATTAGGGGCTGATCATATTGGTTGGCAAGAGGTGGTGGGGGCATTGAGGAGTGGTGTGCCATGTGTGGCCCAGGTCCTCCAACATTAGGGTAAGGGGGGTAGCATGGTGGCTCATTGGGACGGTATGATGTGGTTGGGGGGTACATAGGACGACCCCGGTGATACACTGAAGGTTCCTGTGCTTCATCAGAGTAGCGTGACACTTTGTATCCTCCAACCGTCGAGGAGACTGCAGAAGACGAAGATGAGGAAGGTAACATGTCCTGGGGAGGGTAGCCGCTGCCCATTGTGCCAGTATTGTAACCAGGATGCCTAAAATGCAGAAATGAAGAATTTATATATGAACCACTAAGTCAGACAATGATGCTTTTTGACTTTATGTGAAAAGGAAAATGTGGTTTGTGTTGTAACGTCATTTAAATGTTTTTGTTTTAAAAGGGATGACATGAGAAGGATTTTGAGGTTGACATACAATACATACATACAGTGAAATTTAATTGTGGCGAATACTATTGGAAACTCAATGTCGCACAACTGAAACAAACAACCTGAGAGTATTTCCCTCCTCTGTGCAAGCCAAGCTAACAAAGGACACAATAAACACAACAAAATGATGAAAGATGATAAGACCAGACCAGGTCTTTTGTACCAAAAATTTCCCTTCATATCATATGCACCGACAAGTTCAGGAAAGAAGTACATGGTAAAATATGGTGGAGGCTCGGTTATGGTTTGGGACCGTATTTATAATTATTAATGTAGAAAAGTAGCATCAGATTTTGATCCACCACTTAGTACCATCTAGAAAGTGTCTGGCAATAGCTTCATTTTTCAGCATGACAATGATCCCAAGCATACTGCCAATCCAGTAAAAGCATAGAGACACAATAAAAGCAATAACAAAAAATGGACACCATCAGTCATGGACTGGTCTTTCCAATGCCTAAACCTCAAAATTACTGAGGAAACAGAGAAGGAACAAATGACAGCCAACATCCAAATAAGAGCTTAGATATGACCTTCAAAAAGTCTGGAGAACTATTTCTGAAAACTACTTAAGTAAATTACAAGAAAGCTTGCCTCAGAAGGTTCAGGCTATGTGGAAAAATAAAAGGTTGTCAAAACAAATATTTCAAGACTATCGAACTTGTTAGAATTGTACAAATCTTGTTTTTTTGCCTCATATACTGTATTTTCATGTATGACTGCATGTTTCAATAAATCGCTGCATCCATTTCTCATTTTCCTAGCGAAATATATCGAAACAAGGGGTGCCTCAGTCTTTTCCACAGAACTTTGAACCAAACCACAACAGTAAGACCACTTAAGGTAAATTTTATTCAAGATGCTTTGTTCCAGTTAATTATCAGAAACTAACCTTCCACCAGCATAGCCCGAGTCTTGTGAAAAAGGGGTCCCAGATCTTGAGCTGTAAGGTGTTCCTCCCCCACCCTGAGATGACGCAGAGGAGCCTGGGGTGTAAGGACCTGCCATGGAGGAGGGGGGTGTGTCTAGACGCTGATCATAGCCAGCCTCTACAGAAGGTGTGACATTTCCCGATGTGAGGGCCTGGACCCCTGCTGCCAAAACTGCAAGCTCACTGGAAAGCCTTCGCCTCATTTCTGATGGCTATGGAAACAGAGTAAAAATATATCAAATTAAATGCATCTTCATTCAGATTACCACTCAAGCATGACATCACTAAATAAGTGAAGAGATGTTTGTGCAGTCACAATACCGTGTCAGGCTGTGGCTGTGTTGTAGCCTGAGGCTGAAGCCTGTCTGTCAAAGCCTTTCCTCCTAGAGGCACTGTCTGAGGAGTGTAGGACCCATTTACTATCAGGTCATAATATTTCTGCCTCTGTTGACCTGTATAAAAATAAAAGTCACAGCTATTTAAATGCAAGCTCTCAAACCGAATCAACAGACACAAACAATTTATATCTAACATGGTTTGTATGAAAAACTTTAGATTTAACTGCAGCTTAAGTTTTTTCTGTGTCATTTGACTGTGTTTTGTTAGCAAGTCTTCTTCCTTTGAGGAACTGCTCAAAAGATTACATGAAAAAGTGACTCTCTTTGTCTTTTGATTTAAAATTGCAAACTGCATATAAAGAAACTGCCCAAAGCATCACTGTAACAATGTGCATCAGATGGCAAAGAGGAGACATTTTAACTTACCTTTTATATCCAACTGAGCATGAATGATGTTCCCCATGACAGAGGTGTTGTGCAGGTGCTTGACTGTGTCCTTGGCTCCTCTGGTGCTGGTGAACAATACTCGGGCCAGGCCTAGGTGCTTTCTAGTCTTGGGGTGAAACAGAATCTCCATCTCCTCCACCTCACCAAACTTGGCACACATTTCTGCCAAGAAGGGTTCCTTGATGTTGTCATTGAGTCGAGCAAAGGTCACCTCCTTGAGAGGTATGGGACCCACGTAGAACTCATCAAGCTGCGGTAACAAATTAAAGGATCAGTGAAAAGATAATCAAACAGAAAGCTCCCGAGACGTGTCAAATGAACACTAATCCAAGTATTCTCACCTTAAACTTTGGCACTGGCAGAGACAGCTCTGTATATCTGGACCACAGTCTCCGGGGTCTTGGATCTCGCAGTTCTCCCACAGGTGGAAATCCAGAGTCCTGGGGACAAAAAATAAACAGTCGAAATGATTGAAGATAAAAATAAATAAATAAAAGTGAACATTAACTCACTGGCACACTGAAATGCACTCCATCATATCTGTAGATCTTCTGGGTGACACGCCTAATGGCTGGGTCCTGGACGAGTTTGTAGCTTTTCCACTGCAAACTGACAGCTTTTTGTGAATCTGCCCCACCGTCTGGATCCATCCTACAACTGTCACACAAAGAAAGACCACCATTACACACACAGTGCAGAAGCTACTGATAGAAGAAAAAAAATGACCGGGCATCAGCACAGGGAAGTAAGCTTTAAAAAAATCCCTGCGGAATTAAGCCAAACAGATGCAAAGTGCTGCAGTAATTACAGACTATGAGCACTCTGTATGGCAACCTGTCAGGCTAGCGAGCTGCGTCACATCAGCTGCTAACGATCAACTTTTCGGACATCTATATTTCAGTTGTAGTTCTTCTTGCATGGGTAAAATAAGTAAATTAAACAGACTAGCAAATGGGACGGTCTTAGCCGCGGATATGATGCCGTGTGCTGTCAAAACAATGATCACCGTTACGTCACTGACCATATACTTCAGCTAGCCACCTGCTGTTAGCAACGGCTAACCTAGAATATGCAAACTGCTGCTTTCCGGCATCATGACAGATTTCACGTTCCACGCATTGAATCGGGTTTCCGAAACACTCAGTATAACGCCCACCTATCCGTTTCTCTCACCTCAGATCAGAGCGATGTGATTGTAAATTAGTTATGCCTTCTCGCTTTAGCTAGGGCAAGTCAACGGTACGGTAAGCTAATGCTAGTTAGCAAGAACATCACGTTAGGAGTTAAAAACTATGCTCTTCATGTCCCTCAACCCACAGCGATAAAATTTTACCAGTTACGTGCCTCACTACGAGGATCTGTAGACTCGTTTCACCTTCAGTTTGATTAAATTCAGACCCCTCTCCTCTTCGACACCTACTGCCCGCTCATCCGAAAGTAGCAACCCGCCGCTACAGTGTAGGCAGCTCCAGCCAGGCCCGGGAGACGAACAAGAAAAACACTGAGTTCCTAACAGAAACGGCTCACCTCCGGCCCGGCTTTAACGCAAAACCGATGAGCTAAAACGATACCGCTACCATTCCGACAGTTAGTCAAAACAGCAACACGCCTGTTCGAGCAACGGAGCCATTGTTTTCGCTTCGAAATCCTGACATTGTTGAGAGAGCGGCCATCGCGTAACTAACCTGAAAGCCTCGCCTGTTCTCCATCAGTGTGTTCAAAATGCAACCTGCGATTACTCACCGGCACTTTCGTCAAAGCTGAAACTAAATACAGGGAACTTTCACATTAACACATAACACTGTACACACAACAGCATTAAAAATTGTTAATGTAAATAAAGTCACTTGTTTTATTCAGCGTGAAATTTACGCATTTTTAAAAATTGGTTTGAATCTGCTCCTACATTCGCAAGTATAAAAAATGGCCAAAGGTCCCTCTAGCGGCTGATAAGCAAACCTACCTCAAAATTACTGTCAAATGTAATTTATTGTATATTAAAATCTTTCAAGGGTTAGGGATCATATTATACTTGTAGTGAGCACTTTAAAGGCATTTATTTCAACATATTAAGTGTATTTATGCCGCTACACCTTGAAGAATTTAATTACTTGCCACATACACAATTACACATCTATACTGTGTAGTGAAATGCTCAAGTGCCAGACTGGCTGTACAAAAGAAAGAGAAATAGAGAAGTATTTCAATCAGCCCCCCCCCCATTGTGTTAGATAGCTGGTTAACAGCTATCAGTTGAGTAGCTGAGTATCAGATAGGCAGTGTGTGAGTTGCAGTCTCATTTAGCAGTCTCGCGGCTTGAAGGTAAAAGTTCTGCCTCATTCTCTTGTCTGAAGTAACTACACTCCTGAGGGCCACCATCAACGTTGTGATGCTCCGACTAAGGATGTTTTCTATAGTGTAAGAGTGGAAGTCCCTGAGCATCCCAGCCAGGAGTTTGAAGTCCTTTTTCGTTATCTAAAGTAGGAGAAGCAATGATGGGATTTCCTTATCATAAAATCCTCTCTGATAGAACAGCAGCCAGTGGGCACAACTTTGAATATTGAGGCTGCAACTTGCTGCAAATAAGCTATAAACCATGAAATTCAAATAATTCGGACTGACCTTAGGCACAGAAGATCTAAACAATCTCCAAAGCTTCAAGGTGGGCACTCAAGATTTTTGTCCCCAGTTCAATAATTAATCAGATGTAAAATATGCTTATAAGCTCCTTCTGGAGTACCTGCCTTGTAATGTTGAATAGTGTGACAATAAAGTTGGTCTTAGACATTTTGGATAGGAAATTCCATAATTTATTAAATAAGTTGATTAACACCAAGTTGGTTACACTGCAGGGATATCAATCTGTCCGGTTATGAAGAATAAACTGTTGCAAATCCATGTTGTTGGGGGCAGCATAACATTTGCCATGGTGCCCCTAGACTCCGTCACTTGAACACACCAAGGTGCTCAGCATGAGCTTGTTCTCATCTGTGTAAAGAACAGGGTGCCAGTGGTAGACCTATCAAGCTGCATGGGGCACAACTGTGATTGCAGATCTTACTAAAAAGATACCAGGACCTCATGTCACCACCATGGAGCCAGGTTCAGAGTCCAGTCACAAACATGAACCAGGCTGGAGGGCATTTTCCAGAGTTCTGGTAGGGATCCCTCTGATTCTCTATGGAAAAAGGAGCAGATATTATTCCTGCTGCTGGGCTGATGCCCCTCTAACCTCTTGAGACTGCTACAAGAACCAGAACCTTTGTGTGACTCTGCCAACCTGGCAGAGTCACACAAAGGTTGTTGACTCTCCATTGCATCAGTTGTCACTTTTAATGTCCCAAAGCAGGTGAAATGGATTCATATTGGTTCTAGCTTTCTAACTGAACAGATCAATTGCCTGAAGTTTAACAGACTTTGTGTTAGAGTGTAACGAGTATCTATTATCTCTCTGATTTATTCGAGATGAAAAAGAACTTACCTGTCAAAATATGTAAGAACTGGTTTGTGCTGCTGAATTGTATATTTAGTAAATTGATGTAGTTCTAGTTCACCTTTAAAAGCAGGGCAGCAATAAACTGCCAATAATACTAACAAGTGCTTTCTGTTACTTTAACCAGAGAGGGGAGTTCATTAAACAAACATCTGGGACTGTCACACTTAAAAAAGAAAAAGAAAAAAGGAACTAACATTTTACCAAAGACAAGGATTAAATTATTTTAGCTGACAAAATGACAAGTCCATTTCTGCACTTCATTTCTCCAGATTCAGTAAACTATTAAACACCTTCATGATTACGACTTCCGGCCTCACAGGACTATAATATTTCAGCCTGTCAAGACACGACCATGCCGATGTTACCAAATGTAGCTCAGACTGCTGACGGAGTCTACTAGTTAAATTTAGCACTAAGCCCCACCCGTATTCTGGTGCCCATTTTATCCCTTCACTCTTTCAACAACTACCACCCAAAGAAGTATATCAATTTAATAGTGAGAGACTATTTTATTACCCACACACCACACTAACACCCATAACCAGCTGCCTTGTCATTTACCATTAAAAACAAAGTTTTCCAACACACTCCAGTACATTTTATTATGTTTGCTCAGATAAAGATTAGAAACAACTTGCAAGAAATCAACCACATTGCATATATAAATTAAAACGTCCTTGACAGTATCATTTATTATATTAATGTTAATATATATCCAATGAAACCACAACAATCCTTTTATTCCTTTAAAAAAATGTGTCTGAGTATTACCAAATAGCGTATTCCTTCCCTGCAAATTAAGGTTAAAAAGCTCACTGAGCTACGCAACGTTCATGAAATTCAGGGAAAAATCTTGGCGTGAGAAGTGATGACAGGTTCAATGGTGAAAAAAAGTCCTCGTATTCACTCACAGTCTTTAAGATTTAGCCACTGACATGGAGCAGGTGGTGATACAAACAGCTAAGCTCGACACATCCAGAGGTGCAGGACGTCTGTTTGAAGCTTTGAGCGACTTGTAAGGAAGAGCTGTGGACGTGGTGAGACAAGCTGGAAGAAAACGGTCTGAGCTGAGCACTGCTTTTATGTGTGCTTGTATCCTCATCGCTGTGGTGATCTTTCACATGGCTTTGACTTTGATCTGCTTCATCTTCATCTGCTTCTTCTCAATCTTCTTCTGCTCACGCCGCTGGGCAGCTTCCTGAAAATGTCACATGAGAGAGTTGAATTTTGCAGATTTTGCACACTTGCTGCCTTGCTAAGGTATAAGAGTCTTAAAGTGTTGTGACACCCCAAGACCATCAATATACATTATACCTGATAATATTAGTCACTTGAACTGAAGATATCTAAAAGATATTCAAAGCCGATTGCATTCAGAGATGGACTTGCAGCAGTCAATTGCTGATCATGAAACTCCCTCAACCTCTGGCCACTTTTGATTGCAAGATGAGTGCAGATGTTGCCTGATGGGAGGCAACCCATCTCAAACTCAGGCTAACTGCAATCACTCAGACAGATTGCAGTTATTTCCAAACTTTCACCAATCTGATTTACAATAACAGACAGTTAGTTTGAAAACATGTTGCAACCAGTCATTAGGTCCTGCTTTTTATCACCCTTGCATACCAGAACACCAAATGGACAAGGTTCAGACTTCTTGTCACACTGCTGCTTGTTGTCTTTGCTCCCAAGCGCAAAATCTATTAGTTTTCCCTCATACAGAGCTTTTTCCGTCTGTGCCACCAAGGCTTCGGAGCAGATTACCACTCCAGAGCGACTCTTATCTGACTCTGTGGAGTCTTCTTTTCACAGTCTTCATTTATTTATGTTTTTTTTAAAGTTTTTTTTTGTAAACATGGTTCTCTGTTGATATTGTCTTTTAATTGTGTCTGGCACTTTGTGCGTTTTTTGTCTATGAAAAGTGGTATATAAATATTTTAGCTACTCACTTCCTAGTGGGTTTTACCACGTTTGGTCAGTTTTTCTTTCTAATCTAATTAGCTAAAGCCATCTGCACATTTACTGCATACTGCTGCGTATCATTTTGAGTGTATTCAGTCTGAAATGTTCTTGTTGCAGACCTCCAGACGACGTTGTCTCTCAGGGTCCTCTTCATTCATGATCCTCTCCTTCTCTGCTCTCTTCTTCTCCTCCCGCCGTGTCTGGGCTGCCTCCTGACGCTGAGCGTGAGTCTGCTTCAGGAAGTTCTCTTCCACACGGGCACGGTTTTTATCAGCTTTCTGTTTGCCCTAAACATACAAGAATGATTAAAAAAAAAGAAGCTAAAACATTAAAACACTGCAATAGTGGGTGCACTGTACACACCTCTCTGTTCAGACGAAGCTTCTTGACTTTATCGATGCTGTAGATCACCATGTTCATGAGAGGAAGCAGAGCGTCCATGTCTTTGGGAGAGGTGTTGCCCATGCCAGGCACTGAATATAAAAACATCAAATATATTAAAATAAACACCAGTGAAATCAAATTAGGTTTAATGACGATGTCCAAGACAGTAGCAGAAATGACATGCTCACCATTAAATGTAAACAGCAGTGTCTTCTTGGTCTCAGGCAGCTTTAAGGGCTGACCCTCCCTGAAGCATCAAATAAATCCATCAGTAGACAGAAATTCTTAACTATAATCTAAAAAAGTAAATGATTACTTACTCTTGCATAACTTTTGGACCAGAAAATTGGTCCGAGAAATGGATGGACTCAATCTTATCAGCATGATTGGTGATATAATGTACCATCTTAAATGACAAAAAAAAAAAAAGGGAGGCAACACAGAGTTTTAATGACAGCAACAGATTTAAACTGAGTATTCTCAGAATATTCAGTCTCTTTTATAACACTGCTTTGATATGAGAGCCAGACTTCACCTTGTTGTCCATCACACCATCCGTAACCTCGCCCATCTCACTAAGAATAGCCAGGGAGTCTGGGAGCCCATACTTGGCTCCAGACTTTGGCTTATCACCACAGAACTCACTCTGAGAATAAAAAGAGATTAAAAAAATAAATAAATGAATACATAAAAACAAAGCTTTTATTTTAATATTAATGCATAGCTGGTAAAAATTCAAAGAATTCACACTACACAAGTCAGTATTTGCATAACAGTGAGTTTCAAAATTGCATGTCCAATTTGAGGAGGAAACTCACCAAGTCCTGCATCTCCTTC